ATATTAATATTTCTATTAGCTATATTACCTTTTCCAGTCTGGCTTTTAGTTACTTATTCTTTAAGTTATTTATAAATAACTAACCTACCCTAAGCCGTATTATATTATTAATAATTTACCTTATATTAATTTTCTTACTAATTAACTATTAAAACCCCTTAAATAGCTTATCTAGTAGCTTCTCTACCTCAGTAACTTTATTATATAGTATATAAATAAAATCCTTAACGTTAATATACTTACCTATATAAAATAAGCCCTTTTTACCCTTAGACTATTATATTAATAGCTACCCCCCTATCTTTTATCGATACCCTTTTCTATATATTATCTACCTAATAATTATACTTATAACGATATAAATACCTATATATATCTATAATATATATTACTTTTTAAATATAAATACGGCCTTAACCCTAACCTTATCCCAATCTAGCGGCTTATTCTTAAATATAGCCTCTAAGAAAAATACCTAAGCCTACTATACTATACTAGCTAACAGACCAGTATATAAATATAGTTTAATATAGCCTATTAGGTATAACTTAATATTAAGTATTATATAGAAATATAGTAATAAATTTATATATATATTTCCATTAATGTAAGTTTTAATTAAAGCTATAATAAACTAGAATATAGCTTAATTAAGTATATCTTACCGCAGGCTAGTTATCCCTTTACTGTCTTACTTACCTTTATAATTACTATTATTATTATCTTAATATTTATCTCTATTTCTATCTCTATTTTTATCTTTATTCTAATCCTTTTTCTTACCTTTTATCTCCTTATTACTATAGAATTTACTGTTATATTTATTAATAACCTAATCGGCCTTAAGCTCTTTTATAAAATCATTTAGTAAGCTTTATTACTTATCGGTAAAGTAAATAGCCTAGTATTTAAATACTTCCTTCCGCCTGATATAGTATACCTTTTAGTAAAAGCTTAAGTAATAATAACTAATAGATTTATACTAGCTTATTAATTTTTCCTTACCTTTATGGCTAAATAGTATACTATTTAAAATTATAGATAAAATACTATTAAGCTACTATAACGTCTCGGTCGGTATACTATTAAGTTGCCAGTAATAATATTCTACCTTATAATTAAAGCTCTATTTAAGCCAGCTAAGTAATAATTACTTATAGGCTACTTCCTTATTTTCTTACCTCCTAGTTAATCTATTTATTACTATCCTTACCTATAGCTACTAGGCTATATTATAAATATTAATTAAGTCCTGGGAGCTAAAGTGTTATACCTAGCCTAGTCTTTTAACCTATAGTAAGTTACGGTTAAGCTCTTTTTTTATATCGCCTTTCCGTAATTATATAGTATCTTCCTTTTCTAATTAAGCCTAACTTAAAGTAATAAGCTTATCTATAACACTCTAACTTATAGTATTAACTATATTAGCTATATTAAATAGGCTATTACTGTTACTATTATCTTAAACGATCTAGTAATATATATACTTTCCTCCTATCTATATTTATAGTAATACCTTAGTCTATTACTCCTTTTCTACCTTATGCCTTACCTCTCTTTAGTAATAGATAATATTATCTTTTATAGTAGTAAGATAGTAATACGTATTATAGCTATATTTATATAAGATAGTAAGCTAATTAATTACCTAACTGCTATCTTTAGGTATTATAGTAAGCTTTAGGTTAGCTAGTTTAAGTATATTATAATAGTCTTTAATATCCTTAAGTACTTAGCCCTTAAGTTAATATTACCGTCGGAAATATAGCTTAATATTACTACCAGGTTAAATAGCTACTTAATAAAGCCGGCAGACTAGTATCTAATAGTCCTAATTAAGCTATATAATATCCTTTATTACTACTTAATATTACCTCTTTAATTCCTATAATAGATAGTAAAGAGAAAAGCAATTTTATTAAATTTCTCTATTAATTAAAATCCCCTTTTATCTATAATATAGTAACCTTAAGTCGACGCTAGCTAACCTTAAGTATAAGGTTAAGGTTATTTTAGGCTAATAAGTAGCTCGATCTAACGTCACTTAATATAAGTCTAAGTTTTAAGCGAAATTATCTATTTTAGTGAACGATATCTAGCTAATCGCCTCTTAATAGTTCCTAGGGCGTGTAAGAATACTGAGGATAGCAGGGCTTTATGTAGCCTTTTATATATACTGATACAGTATGATACCGCCCTTGAGGATCCTAGATACAGGCTTCTTACGGAACATATTAAGAGAACTAATAGCCCGTTTTTGCTATGAGGGCGGAACGAGTGCGAGTGCATGATTGGAAAGATAGGCTGGAAGTTTGAAAGATATGCTTGTATGGTTAGATTCCAAGCCAGCGTCAGCGAGGATATCCTAATAGCGATAGGTCGACGCACAAGGAAGGCTATAGACGTAATAGGACCTTCTTGGATCCGTTAACACAATCTATCGGCTAGTGTCCGATGGCATGCTTCGTCAACTTGATAGCCATCCTTTAAGAGGTCCGGCGTATCATATCCCGATAGTGCAACATCCGAATACGTGTGCTACCTCTTCTAAACCGAATTTATACAACTGGGGCCAGGTTCTGATTTAGAGATTGGCGTGAGTTCGGTTGGGGAGGACGCTGAAAAAAGCACAAAGCGACAATTCGAAAAGTAGGCCAAACATGCACAAGCTCTCAAGGTACAATTACTAGAGAGTCAACAGGCACTACAAGCTCTAACGCACAATGAGAACCAGAACAAATAAGTCCACAAAGATGATTAGAATCCAACCATCCTATTACCGCTCACTACGCCCTGAATACCCTGTTGCATATCCGTGAACCGCATGAAACTGCAAGCCTCACTCTTAAGATGATTAATAATGGCGGCCAGGGTTATGAACTCCCTCCTGTAATCCCTCTTAGGGCAGTAATAGAAGTTCTCTTAGTCTACCGGGATATATTAGTCACGTCGAATTTAGACACGGCGAGGGATACTAGGCAGTACTTATAAATAGGGGAGTTCAGATACTAATTAAAGCTAGGAAGAGTCGCCAATAATCGATGGCAGAGATAGCACTCCCAGGCTTAATAACGCAGGCTATATACACGGTGATTGGCCTTATAATACGTCGGTCCGTGCCAGCCAATCAGGTTGTTAGTAATGGCGCTACTAGGATCTTTACTCCGAACGAACTTGTATAATATTTCCCGGTTTAATCCTATACCATTGGGGTATATATCCCGTTCTAGGTGGTACGCGAGCCCAGTCACGCTACCTAGATTACGCTTACAGAAAGAATACTAATATGCTATAGGCAATAGATCTTTAAAGTAAGGTGCATTTTAAGATTATTCTAATTAAGAAAATGTCTTTAATACTCTTTATAATAATAATAATCTTATTGCTTATACTAAGCTAGATCTTAATCTGACGGCCAAGTCTCTTTACAGATTAAATACGGATAGGTAAAGTGATTGGCATCGTTTATATACTGGAACCTAGCCCGGTCGGAATTAAAGTAACGAGGGTACGTATTGTATTTAAATGATAGGGAATGGTGGCCAGTGGAACTGAGGTGCTAATCACGAGCTTTCCACACCGCAGGGAAGACTTTCCTGCAGGTACTACACCGAAAGTCAAACATTGTGATGAAATACACGCGTCCATGCTGTTATGAAGTTGAAAGACCCCCCTTTATTGTTTGATGAGATGTGGGGCTGAAAGCATAAGCTTCCCTTTCCCCTAATTTGCCTAGTCTGGACTAGGGATAGTTTGATGCTGTTGTTAGCAGATTCGGGGCTTATCTGTTTATACTACTACCCTAGGCCAAAGGAGTGGCTGCTCACATCTACCACATGGCTGGTGCCCTTGTAGGCTATATTGGCGAGGACTTCTTCTGTATGGTGTAATAAACTGATCTCTCATTCAAACCACTTTGCCAATAGTATCAGGTCCTTATCGCGTTGCATCAGTTGGATCTGGATTAAATTCGGACGATAGGCGATTGGCATACATGGTCGCGATGAAGTATTTGATCTCTGAGTGATAGTAAGGTACTACAAGATTCAGACATGTGTTTTCGACCTCGCAGCCGAGCAATTCCTGGCATAAATAACCTACACCTGTCATCTCGTTAGAGAAATACGCTTCGAGGGATAGTAGTGCCGTTGATTGAAGTACGTGGCATCCAAACTCAATCTGATTATGCACGACTGTGGGAAGCCGTTGGTGCAAGCGATTGGTCTTTTGAGAAATTTCTCACTTTCTGACACATTTCCAATATTTTTCAGTAAGGGCCTTCGCGCGTCAGCCGGGGCAATTGTGGTGGCAAGCAAGCTCACTGGATCAGGCGAAGCATTGGCGGTAGCAATGGGATTGTTGGAAGAAGCAGCTTGCGTAGCAGTTCAAGGTACATTTGAAGTAAACCAACTCGCTGGGACTTACAACATTGCAACAAGAATATTCTGACATTGGAGTTCTTGCGGTGGCGGACTAGTCTACACAATGCAGACCAATATGGTATGGCTGGGCTTAACGACCTTATCTACAAAGCTAAGGACAAAGGTCTCGCTATACAGAGGGACCGTGTAGTCATCCGTTACTGTAAGTATTTGCCATCTCACTAAGAGTTATTTAATTGACTGACTACCTAGAAACTTCTCATACTACAATACGAGCACTTTTGGACAGCATTATAGGGATAAAGTCGGCTTCATTCAATACATAGAATAAGAGAATGTGATGCAAGACGTCCGCTTGATAGGAGCAGTATAGGTAACGTGGAACATTGCGCAAACCAGACAGTCACCCCAGAACCCGCAGGGTGATTAACTCCTAATATACGTTCTGGTCATGCTGCTTGTGCGAAATGGAAATTTTAGAGTGGGTCTTAATTTCTATTGATAGTTGTTAAAGCTAACCCCAGGACCTATTGAAAACACAAGTTTCCCTAATGACGTTAAGTAAATATGGAAATGAAGCCACAGTGTCAGTATAGCCAAGACTACAGTTAATTCCACCTAGAATATGATATTATTCTCACTAAATGAGCTAGGATAGTAAAGGTTACCACTCAGATAGTCAGGCCCGTCGATTCCCTGAACTGAATCCTGCTCTGGACTTATAATGAAGTTATCGTTAAAAAGGGATGTTCCATCACCAGATATAAACTCTCCTAAAGAGTGAAGATCTTTCCACGAGAAGCTGTTAAACGGGTCCAAGTTCGTTTGTGATTCACTTGACTCAACTTGAGACTGCAGGGGCCTATGGCCCGGTAAGGTCGATAAGTCATTAGATCCTTGAGCTTCGGGATTTCTCGATCTCGATTTGCCCAGCATTTTCAGCCATAACAGTCTTAATGATCGAGCATAGCGTTGGCCAAGACCTTGTTTATTATTGGAAGTTTTCTGTAATCGAGAAATGGTCTCGTGAATGGCACGACGTACGCCGCGCGCTTCAGAGGGTTTAATGGCCCCGGCAAAGATAGCCTACGCAAGAGTTAGTAGTCGGCTTACTTTCGCTCAACATAAAACTATCAAGGCTTCGTACTTTAAACAAGAACACCGCAGCGTATATAACATAAAGGTAGAATTTGAGAGGCATGTACTTGAAAGCCTCATCAGGGTCTATGAAGCTGTTCAGTGTGCAAAGAATGGAATTTGCTGCGTCGATAGACTCGTAAATAAATCTCGCATCAGGGGCTGCTGCAAGTTCTGAAAACAAAGGACCAGATGGGCTTTTCTTGGATCGGCGGACAATACGATTGAGGTTTGCTTGGAACGCGAATGCGTTGATATAGAGACGAAGAAAATCGTAGGATAACATTAGAGATGCTTTGACGCGGGGAATGAAGCTGAGTCCGCCCCAGGATAGTTTCCACTTTCGAAGGACGGAGGAAAAGTCATCCTGTATTATTTAGCCACAAGGACATGTCAGAATTGTTGTAAACGGGAGCTTACAATGTATCGTACGTACTCTCCTCCCATGTACAACTGCTCCCGATGGCTGGTTGACGAGTATAGAATATCGTGTGCGTTACTAAACAACTGAGTAATTTCGAGGTGGGCTTGGAACAACAAAGCTAGGTTATCGTTGCCCAGCTTCTGGGTTTGGAGGTAGGGGAAATCGGAAGCTCGTAAATTCACGGATGGACCTGGTCCACGAGACCAGAAACCCTTCCCGAGGCGTATCGAAACTTGACGATCGCTCATATAGCATGCTGCTATCAGGTCAGCGGCAAATCGAGTGGTCGTAACACTCCTTTCTTACCTGCCCAAGCTATTCGCTTTCTACTCAAAAGCTCTGAAGTACCGACAGTTCGCTGTGTGAGCCCTGTTTGTTCCAGATTTTGAAGGTATGCAAGACGAATAGCAACGCCCACAAGCATCCACGACCCTTGGTCCTCTTTTCCACAGCCTATCATGAGGTTTTCCTCCAGCGGCTGGGGAGCCCACTCAGCAAGTATTAGCAACGCCTCAACTGCACCGACAGTAGTTGAACCAGTATATATCAGCTTGGAGATTTGGCTTTCCATGTATCGAGCGCAGGAATTATGGGCTGTGGACCAAGAGGGATCATCCTTTGTGGCAACAGTGAGGATAGCTGTCATCAGGTATGGTTCGTCCTCGATGGCTTCCGAGATGCTGCCACAATCGAAGATGGCGCTGTAGGCGATGGGGAAGAAGATGTGAAAATTGTTGCGGTAACTTTAATGATGAGTATTAGTGATGCCTCAAGAATGCGAAACAAAACCTTTCGTAACACTTACTGCTCGATGAGGAAGGATGCCTCAGAAAGTGTCAGTGCTCCAGAAGCTATGGGTGGGTAGTGACAGATGCCCTGCGATGGATTTGTGATTCTTGTTGGATTCTCCATCTCGTCCGGCGCTTCGCGTGATTGAACGTGTCCCTCAGGGTCCATATCAGCCACATGCGCAAGCAGATCTAACGCGTCAGAGGGATTTAAAAGATCCGAAGAGGTGAAATGGCCTTTGAGCTGCACTGCGTCGCGACCGTCATCTTCGTCCTCGGATTGACGGTCCAGAGATGACTCGAGCTGTGATGATAGCCATTCGCTTTGCTCGTCTGGCTCGCGGGCTGTTTGGGTGTTGAGGTCCGGAGGAGGATTCATCTGGGTGATGGTCCGGTCTGGCGATGGTTGGTGGGAGTCTGCAATTGAGCTTGAATGGCCAAGACCAAGACGCTGGCCTTTGATGCGACGGCCGCCTCTTCGTGAGGTAGCGAGAACGCATTCTTGGCCTTTTTCGATGCATCGGCGGCATGGGGGATCTCCTGGGACGCCACTAGCCTCACTGATAGAGGCATCATTCGATGTCAGCCTTGTTTCCACTGCTCATCAGAGGAAATTGACATCACCTACAGATCACATCTAGTCTTGCGAGATCTGCAACTAACGCAGGCTCTCGAGACCCTTCTCTCGGTCTCTGTCCCAGGTGTCGGCGGTGTCATGGCAGGCCAGATCATCAATTACCGAAGCGAAGGCATTGGATTCGATAAGCGGGGGACGGCGGCATTTGAATCAAGAGGACAAGCGTCCTATCCAGCTGATCATGCGAAGTGGAGATGAGAAGTCCCCATCAGCCCGCCCGAAAAGCCCAACTCGGCAAGGACCAGAGCTAAGTTTTGATGCTAGCGTTAGCCGAACTATCGTTAAAACTTGTAGGTCAGAAGACTTTATGATTCGTGGGCTAGAGCGGAGAATTCCGCAGCTCTTCAACTACAGAATCGCAATGCAAAACATGTTTAAAGGAGATCATTTTAATTAAAATGATTTCTAGAAATGGCTTTTAAATACGTGTATTTGTCATTTAGATGAATAGAAAACAGAATAATGTTCACGACAATTGATTGTTATTCTTTTACATAGTCAATCCCATGAAGTAATTTGTCTATATTTCTAGCCTTTTTCTAATGTTTATCCCATATTCTTTCGTTAATTTTCCCCATCTAATTAACACAACCGCATGCCCACTGTCAGGTTACGATCCAGAGCCAAGCAACGAATAGTTACCACCTTTTTACGCTATTTCAACCCACCACTCAGTAGTATGTCCTGTCCAGTCATGTATCCATTTCTCGCCAGCCTAATTCATCCATAAGTAAGTCGTGTATCCTCAGGCTACAGAACAACTCACATGATTATCGCATTGCAGACTTCTACAGGGGAGCCCAAACGATGGACTGGAATCGACGCTGCTATAGCGAGTCCAGGGTCAGTGTTCTTCAATTCTTCCATATCGCACCCTTTCTCCCAAGTTCTAGAAATCTGCGTTAGCCAAATTGTTGTTGCTGAAGTAGGATATTGGTGCTCCTTACTTTGATATCGGCGGGGGAATCATTCCTGTTGACCCAATCATGGCTGGAGACACCTGTGTAAACGGTCAGCTTCCACGGCATAAAGACAAGGCTCTAGAAACCCACTATGTTGACGGTGATGCCTTGGGGCGCTAACAAGGTGGCCAAGTTCTGTCCCATTGAGCTGCGTAACTTGTTAGCATAGCTGACATGTGAAACTAAACTCGTCTCCCCCACGAACCTCAGAGCTCCCTTTGAAGCAGCGTAATGACATCCATTTAGGCCGCTACCACGAGCTGCAATACTGCCAACGAGGATAACGCGTCCCCATCCTTGTTGCCGCATCCCAGCTACGCATGCTTTGGTAACCACAAACTGGCTACGACTATTGATTTCCATCATCTCATCCCAATCATCTTCACCAATATCTGAGACATCGCGGATGCGCCGTCCCAGCCCAGCATTTGCTACCAAGATGGTTACGGCGCGATGTTTGGATGATACAGGGTCTTGGCTTAATAGACTTGGGACTAGCGCTCGCGTAGATTCCCTTTGTGAAAGATCTGCGTGCACAGTAACGAACAATTGAGATGGGTATGCTTCCCCAAGCTCTCGTGCGAGTTTGTCTGCCTTGCCCTTGTTTGATGAGTAATGTAGAGCAACATCGCACCCTTCGGCGGCAAAGGCTCTGGCCACAGCGGAACCGATTCCGCCACTACTTTGATGTTAGCTCAAGCCACCAACACATGGAAATATTGGAGAAGTTGGGCTGATTTACCTCGATCCCGTCACCAACGCCAGTCGGCCTCTGAGATCATTATCAATTAGTTGCAAGCGAAACATTGTACGATCCTTGTCTGATGACACAATTGTATTAACTCGTTCATACTTGACGTCTTATAGAGGCGCCCGTTAACATGAAACTAGCTTCGTCGGCATACGAAACTTTCATTCACCGCCATCGGCGACTTCAATTGCCGTCGGCGTCTGAACGGCAATCGAGTCCGGTGTGGTCTAGCCTGGTCTGGACTCACTCTAAGCGTCTCCCCCGCAGAAACGACACACAAACATGGAGACCCCACGAAATAACCCAGCCAGGGTCGGCATGTGGGCTATCGTCTTTATTAACTAGCCACTGTCTCTTGATCCAGGTTCTGAATTCATCAATAAGTTTGCCAAGAACACACAATCACATCATACATTGCATTACTGCCATTTACCAAAGCCTGACAGCCCGCCATGGAATTGCAGGGACAGAGCCTCATCCTGGCCGTCAGTGTCTTGACGTCGCTGGGTTTCATGCTCATTGGCTATGACAACGGCCTGATGGGAGGTCTTGTCAACACTTCGGCTTTCAAGAATACTTTCGACAGTCCTGATTCTGACATGATTGGCGTGATTGTTGCCATCTTTGAGAGTAAGTCACATATTAATTACTGACACCTACTCAGCAATTGCTCACACATTCGTTTCCTAGTTGGTTGCTTTTTCGGTGCCATCTTCACATCCATCTTCGGCGAGCAACTTGGCCGACGCCGCTCGGTCTTTATTGGCTGCGTTGTCTTGATCATCGGCGCTGTCCTTCAAGCTGCTTCTTCTACTCGAGCGATGATGATTGTTGGCCGCATTGTTTCAGGTCTTGGCCTGGGTACCATTAACTCTACAGTACCTGTTATGCAAGCAGAATTCAGCCCCAAGTCGAGCCGTGGTATATGTTAGTTTTACACATCTCTCAATTGGCATAACCTTACTCATATGAACTAGATGTTTGTGCTCAACTTTCCACACTCAACTTCGGCATCTTCCTTGTCTACTGGATTGACTACGCTCTGTCTACTCACCAAGGCAGTTATGCTTGGCGGGTTCCAGTTATTCTCCAATGCGTCCCTATCCTTGTCATCATTGGCCTACTTCCCCTCATTCCTGAGACACCGCGTTGGTTGGCGGCGCATGACAGGCCTGAGGAATGTCTTAAAGTTCTAGCCCGGATCCATGGTACTTCCGTGGATAATCCTGAAGTGCGAAAGCTCCACAGCGTCATCACTCAAACTGTCGCCTACGAGACATCGATTGGCTCAGGTTCATGGAAAGACCTTCTTAAGGAAGACAGCATCAAGTCTCGCAAGCGCCTCATACTGGCATGCGCTATTCAGAGTTTCCAACAACTTGGAGGCATCAACGCCATCATCTGTAGGCCGGTCCTATATCTCTGACTTATCATGATTAAATACTAACAATGTCAGACTATTCGAGTACTCTTTTCGAGAAGAGCGTTGGCTTCTCTGCTCATATGTCAGCTCTCATGTCGGGCTTCCTACAGACATGGTTTTTTGTGGCGTCTTTCATTCCGTGGGTCTTGATCGACCGCATTGGAAGAAGGCCTCTGGTAAGGACACGTTCAGCCTCCGGTACCACATGAAGCTAACCTCTCAAAGCTTCTGTCTATGATTAGCGTTATGGCTGCCACTATGGCTGTTCAGGCAGGCTTGATCTACCAGGTGGAGAACAACACGGCGTCAGCTCACGCTGCTGGTATTGCGGCGGCAGCAATGCTGTTTATCTTCCAAGGAGCCTTTACCGTTGGATTCCAAGCAACTGTCTGGGTTTATCCGTAAGAAACGATCTTTCCAATCCTCCCCATCCGATGGCTTGACTAATAACTTGCAGCTCCGAGATCCTGCCACTTCGCCTACGACAACGCGGCTCTTCCATCTCCACCGCTGCTAACTGGATCTTCAACTATGTGCGTGTCTCAGTTGAACCGATAAGAAGCTCTACTAATAAAATCACAGATGATCGTGCAGATCACTCCTATCTCGATTGAGAATATTGGTTGGAGAACATATATTATCTTCGCAGTCTTGAATGCTCTTTGGGTCCCTCTTATCTTCTTGTTCTTCCCTGAGACCAAGGGCCTGGAGTTGGAGGATGTTGACCACCTTTTCGGAGGAGAGGATATCGTCAGGGCGGTAGATGAGAAGGTAGGTGCCGCCGTAGTCATGATGGAGTCTGTGGACAAGAGTGCTGCCTAGATGAAACGGCAGTGATCTCAATATTTGGACGATTGACAAGAATGATGGCGTCGAATGTCCGTACATTCATCCTCGCCAGATAGTAATCATCTTTAATTCTTAGGCTCAATTGAACTTGATACCTTGTTCTGAGAACTTCTTCTTCCAAGCTGGTAGGATCCGATGCTATTTGGTGCTATCTACCTAAAACGTTCTGAAGGTGCATGCGAATTGTACCCAAGTACTATTCCTGCTTGGGGTAGTCTTGTCGTACGACTTCGGCAAATGCGGCACCGGTTAACTGGGGGAAGGCATTAGCCGCTGAGGGGTAACTAATCCAAACCCCGATGTCCAGCATCTCCACCCGGATTCTCGATCGTCAATATAACTCACCCCTGTCCTTTTTACTTTAATTTTATTCTCAAGACAGTAATCACAATCGGGCAGACGGTAAATCATGACCTTTGAGACATACAATGAGTCGGGAAAAGCCATCTTCGGCGATAACCCACAACTAGATCTAATACACCAGAACCCCGAGTATCCTTTCGCTCACGAGGCCGGTGTCTTTATCCCAGAAGAGAATGCCTTATTCATTACGAGCAATCAATTCGACGATACCACATCTGGAAAAAAGAGAATTCAAATAAGCAAGGTGAAGCTCTCTACAGACGGAGTGGCGCTGGGTTGCGAAGAGATTGATGCACCTGCGGTGCTAATGGCCAATGGTGGTGTTAACTACAAGGGGGGAGTACTCTTCTGTTCACAAGGATCAATGGAATCACCAGGAGGGCTTGTTTTAATGGAGCAAAAACCGCCGTACCGCTGTTCGACACTCATCAGCTCATTTCACGGCCGAGACTTCAACTCTGTTAATGATGTGGTTGTTCACTCCGATGGGTCTATCTGGTTTACAGATCCAGTCTATGGTTTTGAACAAGGAATACGTCCCAAGCCAAGACTGCCGAGTCAGGTCTACCGATACCATCCTAGCAGTGAGTCAATACGTGCCATGGCAGATGGATTTGGCAGACCGAATGGCATCTGCTTCAGTCCCGATGAGAAGGTTGTCTACATAACGGATACAGACTGGATTCACGGTGATGGAACAACTGACGACAGTCGTGTGTCACATATGTAAGTCACCATTACTTCCAAGCATTACATTACATGGCAGATCTCTTACGCAAGTATGGGCAGATACGCTTTCGACGTCAGCACATATTCAGGTCAACCGTTTCTTATTAATCGCCGACTCTTTGCTATGGCGGACACCGGCATACCCGATGGAATCAAGTGCGACACGAACGGGAACGTCTACAGTGGATGTGGCGACGGTGTGAATATCTGGTCCGCGGGAGGCGTCTTGCTGGGAAAGATCCTTATTGAGGGCGGTGTTGCGAACTTTTGTTTTGGTGCTAACGGACAGATTTTCATGCTCAACGAGTTCAAAATTTGGCGAGCTCAGTTGGCTAGTGGTGTGAAAGGGGCATTATTAAGCATTTAATTCTAGTAACATCCTGTGAGATATTACCTGCCACAAACCTATACAATACCCTAAACTTGCCGCCTTGTCTGTCCGAATATTATGATCTCAGTAGAAAGTAATGACCATAGCATATGAAGTTCGTCATCGACATTGAATGGTTACATAATCCAATCAGCCTAGAATCATCCCTAGCTCTTATGGGCGAGTACGTATGGAGTGGCTAGCTGAGCATTTGCCGGCCCCCACATAGCTTTTATCCCGAGTGACCGGACAGTCGCCGAATCCAAAGGCCGCTCGTAGCATCAAGAGTGTGCCGATGTAAAATACCCACCCAAGCCTCTTTTTACGGCAATTGAAAACTGGCTTATGATCTAGCCACAGGTCCAAGCACGAGCCGTATGTCTGCATACACCGACAACCTTCACCAAAACCAAATCACAAGCCAGTAATATCTTGTGATAGGAGAAGAGAGTCCAAGACCACTTTCAAAAACTTCAATCCAGTCTCTTTATAAAACGAGTTGCAATATGTCTTGCCGCGAGAAGAACAAAACACGCAAAAGTCGAATATCCAGACCGAAAGCTTCGAGAGCAAAATCCTCAAAGTCTACACATCGCACTTTCATGTCATGTCTATTCTGCACTAGAAACAATCGTCAATGCCTACGTCAAAACGGGCAGATACATTGCTCCGAGTGTACAGCTCTCTGTCAGACCTGCCACTGGCCAGACTTGCAACAAAATCGTGAGTCTCGGCATATACAGAGAAAGAACTGCACTAACTGCAATGGAAGTTTATCAAATAGTACACGAGAAACAACAACTATGCCAGAAACGCCGTTCTCTGTCGGAAGATCTAGTAGCCGGAGTTGGAGCTCTAGAGTCATATTTATCAGTGGCAGAAGCCCAGGAAGCTCTATCAAGACTGCTGGACGAGATGGTCTTTGTGGAGCAACGCGTGTGTCAGCTTGAATCAGAGGAGTTAAGGCTCTGGGACCACGAGCTTAGTACTGAGAACATCAAAAAGACAAGGTTAGAAGAGCTATATTTGCAAGGAAGTTTTAGGGACCTTCCCCAAGACCTAGATTATAATTTTGCATTTCCTTGGGTAGATTAGTCTCGGCATGTAGTGTTTAGAAATGTGGACTACCTAATAACGCAGCAATTTTAGAGATCATGCCAAGCTGAAGAATAAAGTTCATAGGACTAATGTGTGAAATTGAATAGACAGCTCGGATCTCAGTTAATTAAAACACCACAATTGCTCATTTAAAGTACTTTACCAATAACTACATTACATTAACTTTCACCGTATAGCTGTATAACTGTATTCAATCGCAGCTGAAGAGTTCATTCTTGATCGATGTCACCTAGCGGTCACAGATAAGACAGATCCCAGTCGGAATATAAAAGAGGACGTCACACCTCCTAATTTTCATTGTAACATGACACCGGTGCCCGGTTTCTTCAAGCTTCAAGGCTCCATCACTTCATGCACCACCCATCGGTCCATACGACCACTTGACACCATTGACTTCAACCTGAGAGTCGGGTACATAGGTGCCATTGTTGGATAAAGTGAACTCTGCTTGAGGAACCACAGCACTCGTAAAATCCACAGTCAGGACATTGGACAACAAACTAGGATCAATCACCATTCCTGGCTGATACTCTCCGGTGCAGATGTAGTACTTGGGCTTGGGGTACAATTGAGTGTTGAGCCCCGGCTGAGCGACCCAAGTCTGCAAGGGGATAACGCTGTCAGAGGAAGAAGGATCACGGGCTCCTATGCCAATATAAAACGGATCTGGTAATTTAGAATCAATGTCTCAACTTGTAAGATGGGGCTTTGAATGACCTACTTGGATCATCGGTAGTAAACGTGTTATCAGTAACAATCGCGAACCCGCCCTTAACTGCAAGGGTCTTGCCAGCAGCTGCTTTCACATCCCACATGGGGTTGTTATCTTGGGTCGTGACAGCGGCAATTGTACCGCCCGGTCCAAGCTTGGTCGGAAGGTACTCATTAGTATAAACACGATGAGTGCCGTCATCACTTTTGTTTGCTGTTCCTATAATGGCAAAATATTCTTGTTGCAACACGAATTGTACCTTGCTAGCGCCAGATTGAATTATTGGGGAACGCTGGTAAACGTTGGTGAAGATATCCCCTGACGGACCATTGGTAGGTGGCGGATTGGCCTGTAACAAAAGAAAACGCTTGTTGGCACCATACTTGTTGTTGATAACGATTTGAAAGGTAGTCATCCTGTGCAAAATCAGGTCTGTGGGACTGAATAACAGTAACGAAAGAGCCGAGAAGATAACGAATTCGCTAGGGATGAGAAAAATATAAAGCTTGCGGATGTTGAAAACCTAGCCTAATATGCGTAGGTGACAAGCTACAGGCCGGACAGCACAAAGCTTTTTATAAACCTGTTGTGGCTTTGCGAGAAGAGCTTAACGAGTTTGCTAAGGCTATCCCCGACAAGGTGTCTCAGTGCAGCTAACCACAGCGACAAAATTTGCTACTAGTACTGAGACTTGCATTGACTATTGGCAATAGTTCATTTGGAAAGGGTCTAGAGTCGGGGCTGAACATCACTTGAACCAATCTTCGGTATCTGATTGGACGAATTAGTAATTGGTTAACAGCCTCCAAGAATCTAGAATGTATTAAACTAAATGAGTCTTAAGTCCGGTACTTGGTTTGCACATCCCTTTTTTATTTAAGTCAGAGATCAACATTGGCTTTATTTTAATTGCTAGCGTGTATTGTCTGAAAGACTCTCCCCAACGCTGCATCAAAAGTATAATAATAATAATATACAGATAAAATAATATGAATTGCACTACTTACCTTAAAGATAACTCTCCTTTGGGAGCCTGGTGCCAGTTACACTTGTCCCAGGTATAAAGCTCTAAGATCTATCTGTTTCTGTACACTGTGGCAGGTGCTCATCCGCTGCTGTTTCCTCATAAGACGGCACCGTTGAAGCTCCTTTGCTATTGACAGCATCTTCAAAGATTCGGGCTCGTAGTTGATGTAAAACTTCTCTTGCCTGTTTGAGGTTATTGCCAGCCGCATCCCTCTTTTCAGTCCATACTCTCTTCTTCTCCTCAGCTAACCGCAGCTGCTCGTCCACTATCGCGCCCGCCATGGCTATACCCTCTGCCGTGTCCTGAATCTCCCGATGGAAGAAGTAGTCAGTCACTGGTGTGTTGATCCAGTCGTCGAGTCTACCCGCTACGCTTTTCCCGTCTGCAACCTTGGGCATCGCAAACCCATCGACCTCGGGGTCAATCTCGTGAGCCATAGCGAGGAATTGAGAGGCTTCAGCCAGACTACGCCGGACCCAGTTCAAATGCTCACGTTCTTGCCGGTCAGCTACTGCTGAGTTGAAGTTGTGATTAGCTCTGATACTGGCTCCAGCTTTGAGATCGAAGATGTCGGACTCGGATATTTTGAGAGCCTTTGCCGCGCTCCCGGCGGCAAAGGTGACGCGTGCGCGAGCCATCGTGATGTAGTTAACCACCGAGGCCACATGGCTATAGCTGTTCTGTATGGGATTGAAGATCTTGGGAGTATTAGCACTTTGCCGGAAAGAAAGATGATGATGAGGGAAACTCGGCAATTACCTCTTCAGCTGCTTTCACTTGTGTCTCGAGTTTATCTTCTTCAGCATGGCCCGGCGAAGACCCATTGAAGACAGAGACATAAAGGTTGTCTAGGTCATTCAGGGCCTGTATACGTTGCTCAACCATTTGTTCCAGCTTCTGTCTTAGCTCCTTCATGTCATCCAGCTTGACATGAGCTCTTTGCGTGTCTTGTCCGCCTTGGCCTGCCACTCCAGCAACTCTGTCACGTCATTTTCCTCCTTGACAAGTTTCTCCTTATACTTTGAGCCACCAAACAGCTTTTTCGTGCGGCTATCTCGTAGATCTTCAAATTCTTTCTGTTCCCGTTCGATCCGGGCGCTCAATTCGCTATATAATGCATGTGCATCATAACATGGGTTTTTAAGTGCAGCGATGTCGAGTTTTAGTTGGGTTAGATTAGCTGCGGTATCGTCAGTGGCAGTGATAATAGAGAGGAGCTGCTCTCGTTCGGCCGCTGCTGCGCGAATTCTATCCATAGAGGACACGATTGTAGACATTATGGAAAGAGACCCTCCACCATCTCGTGGTATTGAATCTGGATTGTGTCCCGAGGGGAGTTTGTAAAAATAAAGGTATCGTTTGAGATTAGATCACAATGAAAAACAGCTGGCTAAGTAAATAGCAACTTGATATCCTATATTGAAGTAAATAGAAAGCGGCTGCTCCTTGTTATACTACCTATTTTACTTAAATCCCGCATAGGATTTTCAGCTAGAGCTTTCAGCCGCACCGCCCAAAGAGGGAATGACTTTGGCAATCCTCTATCTGAGTGGTTGCCTAACCTAGACGAGAGCGTAATTATACTAAATATTAGTTTCTCTAATGCATTAGTAAGTAAAGGATCTAGCTGAAATGGGCTTTAAAAATGTCTTAATATTGTCATGGATATTACTGTCACTATAAATAATAAGGAAACAAGATAAGGAATGGTCTACACCCAGCGTTGTACAAGTCTTCCTATCAGAAAGTAGTTCTGAAGTTCCCCACAATGCCTTGCCACGGCTTTCAGCAAATACTTGACGGGATCGAATGAGCCGAATGCATCTATCTTGACTTCAAGATAAACCGAATCCCAAGTTCATTAATGCCAGATGCATTTTGTATTGCTTCTTGAGATCTGCTGATGTATCTCATCTAAATCAGGTAGCCATGAGTATTAGAATCCCGAACTATTCATGATCGTAAAGTATCATATTCCTGATCTAGACACAACAAGACTGGAGATAATGCCGAATCTGTGACCTCCAGTTCATCAATAGAAGACTGGGAGACAGTCATAGTACAGTACAGAAGAGTCCTGTTTGATGGTAGCCATGCGAGGCTCGGCTTTCACCTGGTAGAGGGTCGGAAACAGATAACCCCCACTAGACTATTGTAGACCATATTGGGCAAATTTCAAGTAGGTCCTAGGCAATTTCGTTCGGTTCAAGGTCGACTGGCTGCTAGAGTTTACGATGGGTATGAACAATATTGTATATATCCAGAAGATGCATGCGGTGCCTGAAACCTAGCTGCCCGATGCTGTGGGATGCATATAGAGGATATACTATGAGCTCTGTGTGTAGGACGTGTGTGTTCGATGTACACCATACGTAGGCGAATCTCGTCTACTTGATAGCTGTTTTCTTTATCCATATCAAGGGGCCGCCCTCGCTGGATATAGATGTGCAAGTGGTGGCAATCAGGTTGAATATGGCGAGTTCAGGCCAGATAACCTTACAAGACCCAGCTGAAGGTAGGGATTGAAAGTCGTTCTGTTTGGGGTGTTAAATATCACTCAGATTCTGCAGTGGCGTAGTTCACGACGGTCTTCCCTTTCAAAAGCTGATGATCCGTGTTGAGAGACTTGTGATTGTAGAACACATAAGAAACCTGTCGCTCACGCATTAATAAGTGGTACATTGTTTTCCTTTGGCTTATCCCTCTACTACCCTGCTCAAGCTCATATCACCAGCAAATAGACCGAGAGCATCCATGGGTTTACCCGTGAACCGATCGTTCCCTCTATCTTCTCTGCTCCTGGAGTTTCAAGTAATACGAAAGAGTCGACGTTGCGACGCCCTTGCAAAGACCTTTTCCCAATCTTTGTCATTCAAGCTGCCGCCCTCATTATTCTCCCCGGCAAGTGCTACTGCAGACAATATCCACTGAGAAGGTAAAACTTCCACTTGTCTGATAAAGTTGTCGTTCCAACTTCAACAAAGACGTACTAAGGACTTCGCACCTCCACGGTACTCGCCAATGCAGAATGGCTTGAGTCGGACAAAAGTCCGAGGAGATTTCAGTCTGACAAGCTACGTCCTACCTTGGTTACACAAAGAGGGATGAAAGTCTTATCAATACCATGCCCTATGTGTCCTAACAGATCAGCCCACCATATCGCCCGGACCCTACGGCGCTGTGTTCGCTTACTTTTTCTGGCGGAAAGGTCACCGCTCCAATCAACAGACTTACGGGGTCTAGGAGGCAAAACGAATCTCATATCTTTTCCCGAGGCTAACAAAGGCAAGGTAACCAAGAACAAGAACAAGAGCAAAGGTCCCATGAAGCACAAGGCTAAGAGCACCAGCAAGACCTATAAATGACATCCCCGGTCGCTTGGTTCCCATACAAATGTCTACAGTGACAGCACAATAGAATTGAGACTACGATCTCAGTATATACCTCTAGCTGTCATCCAGTACACCCCGGGGACAGTAACAATCCATACTTTCAGCATCATCGCAGCTCTATGAATAATATTTTCAGCCCATAGTCACAGCCAATAAACACATCGCACAGCCAGCCATATCACGGCCAAGTCTCTTTCTTTCTGTCCAATATAAGTAATCCCTTTCATTCCTATAATACGAGCTCGCTACAAGATGATCCTCCTGTGTTACCGCCCTACAAAGCAGTCAAAACCAAGACCAGAAGTAATGCGAAACAGCGAATAATCCATCGTGAATTCTTTAAGGCAGTGACTTCTCCAGTACCGTTTCATATGGCATATTCAGCACCCACTAGATATTTGCCGACGTCGTTGCAGGTGGGACAGTAGTGGATGCTCTTCATATGTAATCTTATAGTTCCTGACTTTTTCATTGCGGTAAGAAGACTTAATGGATGAGGTCTCTCTTAAAGAACACCTCGTTACTGCTTGGCGAATCGTCGCTGTTACCAGATACCTAGAATTAAATTCCAAGACAAACCTTGCATGGTATTAACGTTGTTAATACACTGGCAAATACTGTGACAAATCGCATTGACGCCTGTCGGATAGTTGTTATTTTCTATGCCTCGGCAGGAACAAGAGGTGGGCGAAAAGACTCCAATGGAGATGTCAAGCAGGGTCTGGCTGAAACGCAACGTTGGTACGAAAGCGGAGGATTTGAAAGTCTCCGATCGAAAGTTTCTGCGGACAGAGTACTATAAGAGAGAACAAGTAGAAAATTTCAGATTGCGAGTGCCATTAAGATATTAATTCACTTATAGCAGTACACTACTGCATTGGCGAAAGTCGCCCACCCTATTATATAATTAGCGAGTTTAGACGACAAAATAGATACGGTAGATGACATTTCTGCTGTGATTGGCAGTGTTAGAAAGCGACATTAAAGGGGAAGCACAGGACGATCTGCATCACTGTTTGATAAAGACTTGGCATTCTGGTCAGGTGACTTTTCGTTTCCTCAATTCGAAGTTCGATTGATTGAAACGCAGCTCATCAATCATTATCATATCCCGACTTGTAGCCATCAGTTCCACAAACCCATAGAGTATCATCACAATAGCTTTTAGCATTGTGAAATGTAGGTGTGATCTTGAAGACCATTCATGTGTTGGTATGGACTCTATTGAAGTTCTAGGTATGGCGTAATTGCGGTTTGAGATTTTAAGACGGATGTAAGGTTATTATGACATACAGCCCGTACAATTCGACCGAGGCTATAAAAGGGCTCGGTCAAGTTTGAAATCAATCAGTCTTGCTACCTCTATTAATAATTTAATAGTGCCAAGACATTATTACCCTACATTGACTTCTAGCTGACTACATTTAGAACATATACCAATGACAGGCTGCCGTTTATCGAGCTCTCAAGGAACATTGGAGGCGTGATGTGTTGAAGGTTCCCAGAACGCCACTATCGGACAGGGGTGTTTGGTTCCAGAACGAATAACCACCCCGTCTCTTCGTAAATGAAACGGGTGTTGTCTCACCTTGAGATTAGTGGGTTGTAGTGGGCTGATCTGCTGAGTCAAATCGAGAGCGTACTCGCCACTTCCCAAGAAGAGTACCGTTTCTGAGCCGAGTCCATTTGCTCTATGCTCGTCTTTAGAGACCGATCCCCTCTCTCGTTTTGTCTCCCATTGGGCAGATGATTGCGATAAGGCGTATGTACTTGGCCGCCGTCTGCGTGTTATCGAAGACCTTATTGACTGCACCTGATGTGTTCCCTCCCATAGGCTCTGACGCCAGTTCGAACCGTGTCCATTAATCCCTCGTCACTCTTGCCGATAGTCATAACATTGCAGTGTTTGTCGCAACGACCTCGGCGGCAATTGGGTTGTGTTCGGGATGAACATAAGTGTTGATTAACCCTAGCATCTATCTACACCGCCATCTCGGAGAATTAGGCCAATAACCACCCGTAAGATACTCTGTCTTAGCTCACCCTTCCACTACAACAATATCCAGTAAAATATCTTTAAATAAATAATACCGATACATCCAAACTGTCTGATCCTGAGGTCGTTCTTCATGCTTACTTATAAAAGTATCATAGGTCTCTGAACTCCATTTCCTCACTTTTTAAAATACTCAATATATATTCTACTACCCGGATTCATCTATCGACAGACTCTCGCCAATCCTTAAGACTAATAATTGCGGTGGTCGGTCTATTGCCGGATGTAGCCCAAAATGGAAATAACCTGCATGAGAGACAGCATGTTTACATTACGGAGAGCGCTGACTCCACCTGGAATGGTACACACATTACTAATTTCCGGAGCACTCCCTTTAGCCAAGTTACGAACAGGGGTAGTACTACCATTAGCATATACTATCGGCGTCTATTGTAGTTATTTACCTATTGCTTCGGAATCCTCCATCCGCGACACGCCCGTAAAATCTATTAGTATATTAAGTTGCGCAATCCTTCCTGCGACACACATTACGCAATCCTTTACCTGTACGATAATATAGTCTTCGCCCTAAACCAATACTAATAAAGGTATGCAAGCCTTGTACTAGCCGGGATTACATCGGATGAAAGTTGTTTCAGCTGTTTATACGGAGTATGTACGAGGAAGTTACTTGATGCGGGGTACCTAAAATCGCGCCAAATCGGTTGATGTCTACAGTATACGCTTATTCGCTTACAGAGAGGTCACGTAATCCTTGTGGATCTCTCCGGCTTAAACCCATATCCACGAGTTAGAAGAAACACCACAGTGGGGGAGACCCAGGGGTCTAGCTCCCTCCTGGGTCGGTGTAATCTAAGCCTAACTATAAGTCTATTAGAAACCTTAAACCTCGTGATCTAAACCGGCGAGACCGACTTATTCCCTGTTGGCCGAAAGTTTGTTTTTATAGAATTATACGATAACGATTCAGACGGTGTATACTGTCCGAAGTAAAGTGTTGTTAAACCACGTAATGAGTATCCATATTGAGGAGAATAAGCTCGAGACTAGACCGGAAGTTCTTGGTGTTGCGGTTAATCATGACGATCCGTGATTTAGTGAAATCTTCCACCAACTAGATAACAAGACACTAAAGATAGCCGGTAAGTCTGAGTACCGGAGCTAAGCATGAAGTAAATCCACGACTATGGATACTTGGGCTTCTGTAAAGGAGACAATTGTACTTGTCGTCAGTAGCTCAAGGCAGGTATAAATAAGGGTGTTGTGCTACACATTCTAAGAACTCCATCCTCAGACACTCAGTCATTCTATAAACTATAGAAAAAGCATCTTGTACTCTTTAAATAACTCCTTTCATCTCTGAAAATGCATTTCACTCAGGCTCTCGCTCCCCTGGCTTTCGCCACCGCCGCCCTCGGCCAGTCCCTCAACATCCCCAACCGAGTCGGTGCTATTCAGGTCCTTAAAGGCCCTCGTACCCTTTCCGGTTCCAACAACGACTTTGGCAACCAGGAGTTTGAGCTCAACCGCCCTTGCGACACTGATGAGGATCTTGGCAGTGATGGTGCTGTTTTCATCCTCAACGACGGTGCTGTTCTTAGCAACGTCATCATTGGTGTCAACCAGCTCGAGGGTGTCCACTGCAAGGGCAAGTGTACTCTTAAGAACGTCTGGTTCCGTGACGTCTGTGAAGGTAAGTACAATAAAGAAACTCGGTGGCCATTCTTTAGCTAACCAGCATAGATGCTATCTCTATCCTTGGTAACGGCGATGCCCTGATTGAGGGTGGTGGTGCTCAGGAGGCCAAGGACAAGGTCATCCAGCACAACGGCCGCGGTACCGTCACTATCAAGGGCTTCACCGTTATCAACGCCGGCAAACTCTACCGCGGATGCGGTGACTGCACCAACAACGGTGGCCCTCGCCACGTTATCGTCCAGAATGTCAAGGCCAAGGGTGTTAGTAACCTCGTTGGCATCAACTCCAACTACGGCGACACTGCCAACATCTCTGGCACCTGCGGAACAGGCGTCAAGAAGGTTTGCCAGGAGTTTGTGGGTGTACAGAAGGGCAACGGCAAGAGCACGGAGGTCGACACCACCGCCAGCTGCAAGGGCCAGAAGACTCTTTCTGCTTGCTAAGTGCATTGCCATCTCTACTAATCGCCAAATTGTGAAATGAGGAAAAGACGACAGGGTTTCATCGCTGGAGTTGGGTACGCTGACTGATGTTAGTATACCTGGCACCCAGTCGGTTACCCCATCAAGACGCACGATGTCCACGTTTTGATATCTATAGTATCACGTTTAACGATCACCCGTATTTAGAAACACCGTATATAAGAAACATCTACATAAATAAGGATTAGGTTATTATCCAATTGGACTTTACGCCACTCTTGCCATATGTGTGACTAATGCAGTGATAGCTACTTAGAAAAATCCACTGCAGTGGCTTATTCATGTCCTTGAATAGTTACTTTGAAGATTAGTATTCTAGTTAACTTTCCTCTTCGTTTTCGTTATCACTCTCAATATTTAAACTCTACAAACCTATCAATAGTAATCCCCTCTCTAACACTAAAGCGTCTAAGAAATAACATTGAAAAGAGCGGTAAGGGTTAATAAGGCCGTGCGCCTATATAAGTAGGATATGTAGACAATCATGACTTATTCTACCTTGTGTTTCTAGAGTTGAGAAGGTTTGCATTAGGACTTGACGTGATGCCCCCTTTCGGAGACGATCTGTTGGTGGATGTGGATCCGCTAACGTTAATTGCGGCAATTGATAAGAAGATGTGAACCTGATGGTTAAAGAGAATATTTTCGAGGCTGGAGTTATGCCTATCGTTGATATGTGAAACCAGAGAAAAGTCTGGCTCTGCATCAGCCACGTCATTGATGAAGACCTTAATGGTTGCTTATTGTTTCAGTTTCTAGCTGATCCGCTCATGCCGGATGATTATAGTGGTGAGCCTTCAATCGGATCAACCAGCAGTGATGTGGTCTTTTGCCTCAAGCCAAAGGTCGATAGAGGTAGCTGTACTTTTACAGTAATACCCTATTTTATAAGCGCCGGGGACAGGTACTTAATTCCACGGCTCATTATAGCAACCACTTGGGTATAGACGAATCCGAGTAAGCATAATGGCATTACCTGTACGGCTTCCACCATATAACTGACTGGAAATTCAGCCAATGCAGCCTCTACATACCACGATACGAGCCTATTAAAACATATAAAGTTTCGTCCAGATCGATAAAGCTCATCGAGGCTACTTTCTAAAGTTGCTTGTCTGGACATGGTTTCTGTTGTGAGCCTAAGACCGACAATGGACAAGAGCTACCGTGTAATGAAACCATTCAACATCTAGATTTACCTGCACAACTGCTACATATACTACAAAGCTCAAGCGGGCTGCTTTCACAGCTGGCCGAACTCAAAGACATGATCAACTACTCTTGCCACGTAATTTACTCGAAGGGTTGTTCATCGCTGCCTTACTGGTGGCGGATGATCCAGCCTTTTAAAACTCATGGCCAATACAAACGATTACTCAAGACCGGTTTTACAATACACAAGTTTCCAAGAACCGTTCAAGATACGAGCCAAATCTTCACGTGTATACGTATGGATTGATACAATGTATATTCAATAAGATAGTAGAGAGGACAGGGAAATTAAGATTGTACGGATGCAATCTACTATGAAAGAAATGCCTTGACCATATCCGACGCCTGTTCATGAAATGTATTGAAGGCTTTCTGATCATGCATCTACCATTTCCTTCCGTTGTGTTCCCTTTCAGCTTGCCTTCTGTACGAAAGCCGGACCTGGATGGATCCAAGTCTTTTCATTGGCAAGTGAGGACCCAGAACCCAACGACAGTCGAGGCTAGGCATTTCATGAGATCTCGCTAAGTCTTGGCATTGGCGGGCGATTGAATTCGATGGCACGGAATGTCTGGGGAGGCAAGGTGTGAGGGGCATGGCACTATATTGGACGAGGTCTTTGACACATCCAGTGCAAGCCACTCACTGCTGTCATTTCATAAAGGAGTCTTGACTCAAAATAAACAGAACAGTATTGCAAGGCACTATACCAGCCGCAAGTTAACCATGGAGTCTGATAAACTGCTGGCTATCTCGGCGTTAGCGTATTAAATGCACGACACAATACGGAGATCACTGGAGGACTTGACATATGGTGCTAGTCTCTTTATTATTCCGCACTTGGCATAGAGCTGGATCGACCAGTTACTCTAGATATCAAGGGCAAACAAAGCTTACCGCCCTTGCCTATTGTGCGGCATCTTGGTCTTGGATATGCTTGGATATGCTTGAATATGCTTGGATATAGACAATGAATTCCACAACTTAAATGTTTTGTTTCCTCTATCTAGAGTATATTAAGGACGGTCGAGATAGAGCTTCAAGTTCAAAACTATTCCGTAAACTTGCCACTGCCCTTAACTAAATTTGGCAGGGTTACGGGAGCATCCTTGGCTATTTAATGCTGCTGGCAGCGCTTGAAAGCTTGTCAAAATATTAAGGGATTGTTTCCCGATACAATGACGCCTATTACACGGAATGTCTTTCATTCCTGGTAAGATATCAGTATTATTCTATAACTTTGGTCTATGCTTAATCCGACTTAGTGCTTGGTCTGTTTATCTAGTAATTACTCGATAGACTATACTATCTAAACGTTTTCTTTCCAAACCAATTTTAATGGCTTGACTACAAATCTTATCACGCAGGGTTAGTAAGTTAATAATAACTTAATGGAAACCACTAAGGAATAAAGAACCCGCTAGAAATCCCTTCCTGTTAAAGAAGGTTACTTCACAACCGAAACACTTCCACAATTTATGCGCCTTTATAATTACCCAGCCGAAGCACGCCATAACCCCACCTCGGTCTCAAGAATAACATCCGGCAAAGGCCGGGTTGATCCGGCATTGACAATAAGATCTATAAGAACAACATGACCAACAGTGGAACAGAAAATGGGCAAGGCTTTTCTCGGCTTGAAGACAACAAGACTGACGCTGGCAAAATGAGTGTCGCAAGCTCTAGCGTCATCGTGGTCGGTGGAGGTATTGTCGGCGCCTCTATAGCGTGGCATCTCTCCTTCGAGGCAAATGTCACCATAGTTGCGGAGGACATCGGAGGCGTCGCGACACCTAGCTCTTTCGCATGGCTGAACGCTGCTTCATCCGACGAAAAGTTCTACTTTGACTTTCGACTTCGATCTCTTGAGCATTGGAGAGAAATTGAAAAGGCTGTCGACAACTTTCCAATTTATTAGGGTGGCACAACGAGTTGGGATAAATCACCTGAGAAACTCGATGAAGAGCAGAAGAACCTCACGACGTGGGGATACGATGTTATTCGTGTTGACAAAACAGAGATATCGAAGAGAGAGCCTCATGTCGCGGAGCATCTCCTACCGGAATGGGGTCTTGGGTATGGCGCTGAGGGAGCTCTCGAAGCTGAAGCAGCTGCTCAGCTATTGATCCACCACGCGAAAGAGAACGGCGCCAAGTCTCTCGAGACAACAGTCAAAGGTTTCTTGAAGACCGATGGCCATATCAGTGGCATCGTACTTTCTTCCGGCGAAACTCTCCCTGCAGACCATGTCGTCGTGGCCGCCGGTCTAGGAAGCGTGAGCCTACTCGCGACAGAAAGTATCAAGTTACCTCTCAAAAGTACAGATGGCCTTCTCGTTAATACAAAGCCCATCTCAAAGGGACTGGTCAAGGGTGTTGTAAACGCTCCGGAACTCCACATTCGCCAAACCCTCGACGGAGCCCTCCTCTTCGGTTCAAGCTACGCAGGCGGAGATCTAGGCGACGATCCCGAAAAGACAGCACGTGAACTCTTTGCCAAACTTCAAAACTCAGTTGTTGGCGGGGATAAACTTGAATACAGTCACTATACCATTGGGCATAGAGTGTTACCAGAAGACGGTCTTCCGATTCTTGGGGGCGTAGGCTTAGATGGGCTGAGTGTTGCTGTGATGCATTCTGGAGTTACCAATGGAGCTCTTGTCGGGAAATTGCTAGCCAGGCAGATCCTCACTGGGGAGACGGACCCTATGCTGGATAATTTTCGATTGTCACGTTTTGACTGAGTTGTTGGTGTTGACTAGGGAAATGTAGGTCGCTAAAATACTCAAAGTAGCCTTTAAGTAATTTGAACGCGGTAGTCTAAGATGACTTTTAAACAAGTAGCCTTATAGCATATTGGCCCAGGCCGAATTAAGCGCTGAGGTCAATGTAGGCTATACACTCTTATGAATTCGCCTGTATCTGGGAAGAGCATTAGGAACACATACGCGGTGCAATTTCTTTTACAGGCTAAGGTCAATGGCATGTAGTATTACCTGACGCAGGGATATAGTAGGTCCCCGTCATGATATCAGCTCGCTTCGCAATTAGGAAATCTAGATATACAAACCAGATTTAGACTTATACAAAGTGTGTTCTTCGTGTGATGTTGGTCGCGTTAATGTAAACGAATGGAGATACCCATTGCGCGGTCAAAAAAGTCGTCCATTTCACTCTCTAACCAATAGCAAGCCTTTGATATAGGGAAGTAAATACTAATCTGTATAATAATCCAATGGCAGCCCCGTTCCAAGTCCCATATCATATGTCAATAGTCGACAGTTGTATTTAATAACTTCTATTAGCTTGACCCGGGCTTATAGTCGGTAAGACTTGCCGAGTTTGATCTATAATAGGTCGGTAAATTATCTGGAGTATATAGTGAAGTCGCCGGACGATGGGGATAATCCGGTGAAGTACTAGAATAGAAGCCGGGGTTGGACGAAGACGTAGTACCGGCTTGTTCCAGTTGTTCGAATGGAGTTATTGAGCTTGTTTGTATGCAGTGTCGTATTGAGTGGTATCATAGGGACTTTCAGCTTGTGAAAGCAAATAGCAGAGGCGGCCGCCTTTGTCATAGTTCGCAGCAACACAGGCGGCCTCCGGTGAGCAAGCCTCTATACAAGCGACCAAACTAGGTATGTTACGGTCCAACCTATATATACCGTAAGTACCAACATCAACATTACAGGAGATGCTAAAGCTGATGCCATTGGTGGCTGTGTATGGGTTATTCAAATCGGCACAGGTAGATGGCTTTGGGATGTCGCTGGTGGTTGTTGTCTCCGAGGTTGTGTCTGTGGTTGTCGTCTCCGAGGTTATGTCTGCGGTAGTCGTCTCTGAGGTTATGTCTGCGGTAGTCGTCTCTGAGGTTGTGTCTGCGGTTGTCGTCTCCGAGGTTGTGTCTGCGGTAGCTGGGGCAGTTGTAGTGTCTACGGCGTTAGTTAGAATTTGTGGGAATAGTAATGGTAGTGGTTGCTGTACCTATGGTTGTAGTCTCTAAAGCAGCAGTAGTCTCTACATAGGTAGTAGTCTCTATGCCGGTGCCAGTAGTAGGACTGACCAGAGCAGTGGTGATAGTCGTCGTTTCATCACTTAAAGATGATGAGTCTGCTGTTGCTTCAGCTGTGGTTGTTGGCTCAGCAATCGATGTTGATACTAGAGCGCTAGACTCAGTCGAGCCAGAGGTTGATTCGGTCTCCGGAAGCGTCACGCTGTAGTCTAGAGTGGTAGATAAGGCTGTTTCCGTTGATAGCGTTGCCGAAAATTCGATATCACTGCTTTTAGGTGTGATAAGGGTACTTGATAAAGACGAGGGCTTGCATGGTGAAGCTGAAGCAAACTGGCAGAGTGCCAGAAGCTGAATGACTGGCTGTGAAAGTCTCATGGTATTGCTAGAATCTAGACAATAGAGTCAAGAATTAAATACATTCGGAAAGGCTTCGTATGCTAGGGACAGTGTTTTAAGTTCAAATTTTCAGTCATGACATCAAACCCCCTTTCTTTTAATTTGTTTAAAAAGGCTTGATTTGCTTTATAGGTTATTGGTCCAGTATAGTAGACTATTGCTTTAGTGCCTAAGCTATTGCTTTTAGTTCTAGTAGACCGAATCTAAGGTAAGTATTAGCTTGGGCTAGGGTAGCCGACTAAGCATTAGGCCCAAATAGGTAATTCATAGTATAAACCCGGAAGATTGTAGAAGAATATCTTTCTAAAGGAGGTAACGCCAGTGGGTTCTAGTGACGCAATAGATAATCAATCGCTTGAGATCAGCTAAGCGATTAGCAATAAGGCATGTCTTATGTTATAGCGTGAACCTATCAGCGTTACCTCCTGTTAAGGGATTATTACTTGCCGTAATAGAAATATCTACCTAGAGCGGTAGTAAGAGGTAATTACTCGTTGGCTCTAAAGCTATATAGAATCCGAATAAAGCTATTATCTCAGACATTGTAGCCAGCGAAAATAATTTAGTTTGACCCTACGACCTAATATTTAAGCATAACCCTAACCCTCAACCTTATAATAATATATCACGACACCGCCCCCGATACATCTCACGATATTAACAGTACTCACTATTTAATTAGCCACGTAGCAAAGAGTCCTATTCCTGTTTGGAGCAACCTTAAACTTTGCTATAATTAAATGGTCATAATAGCCAGCCACCATTTTCATCGAAACGGTAGCTTATTTAACGAGGCTTCCAGTACTGTTCCTCCGAAAGACAATGACATATAGGCGGCCGATGCTGTTGTCTAACAACCATCGCCTCTAAGTTCCACGAGAGTCAGTTCAGAGTAAGCTCTATGGTAGGGCCTGTTTAATAAAGTTTCAGAAAGCGAAGAAGACACATAAACTGTCGGCAGAGTTCAAAAGGCATTGAGTTGTCTGGTCTCGCGTCTGACAGCACTGTTTCTCGGCGTGTGGAAAATTCCCTAGGTATCTACACCAATGTAGGTCAAAGCCAATCCTGGTCCTTCTTGCCGGCTCTCTCGCTGGAAATGCCGTAAGAGCCTCGCACCAGGTTCCCGTGGCCGGATTACCAGCAGTGGACTCTTGGGGTCTAAGCGTGACAGCAACTTGGATTAGACGAGCGGTTATCTGGCGATGATCCGGAGCACTCAAGAATATGGTAATCGCCGAGGTAGGAGAAGACCAAGCGCAAAGGGGGGGACGCCACGCCAATCCGTTTGCGTGAGTTCTCGCTTCTGATCATATACAGGTAGGTAAGTAATAGATAAGTTAAGCAGACCCACATGGAAAAAGGCAGTGAAGACAAGTCCCGTTGACGCGAAGCAATCAGACGCTTCACTACGTCCAGTTGCGCTTGCCGGTGGTCCAATGTTCGTAAAGTTTGCTTGGTTTTAGGGTCTGGATATTGACATCATTTGTTGTAACTCCCCCTACTCCCTTGCCATCATCGTTAGCCAGGAGTTAAAAGTAGGTTCTACCGGGGGTGCGATGAAGTTCCAGTTGTAAGTAATGTTTTTTTACCTCCCTCTGGCCCTCTACACTATTATCTCTCGCGTGCAGTAAGAGTTAAGGGCGTCTATTAGCTTCATACCTACTGATATAGCCAGTAACTTCTAGTTCCGCAGAGTGTATAAGCACTTATCGGCTGGCGTAAACTTCCCAAGGAGCTCACCTGGTTTCTTGTTGAAATTATACCTGACGTTTTATATAAAACCGTGGTATACCCGGCGTGATGGCTTTATTTTAGATACCCAGCTCGCGGTAATTTAAGTATAGATTTATCGAGAGCGACTTGGGATATCCTAGTACTTTACCGAGGAACTATTCTAAAGGGGATCTATACCCTTATTATAGTACTACCTAATAAGATAGTAACTTACCTCGGTATAAAATAGGTAGGTAAGTTTATTCTAAAAGTCTATATACTAAAGATTATCTAGTATATTGAAGATATTTAAATTATATATCTAAAAGTCTATAAGTAACTGGCTTTTATTAAGTAAAAGGCTGATTTTAAAAGGATCTCTTACTTAACCCTTATCTATTACTTTACTATAGTTTTTATAAAGGTTCTTTAACTCTTAAAGACCTTTACCTACCTTTTTTATATTAGCCTATATACTATATTATACTCTTACCGTAAGTAGAGATATATCGGTCTAGAATCGTAGGAGAGAGAGATCTCCGAAAAGGCCTATTGATAGCCCCTTCTATTAACGCAGGAAGAATACTTTTAGAACGCGCCTTTTGGTAAAGTTATAGAGAGTATTATTCAGTTCAGCCTTTATATCATAAGCTAACGTATAGATAGCTATATTATATCCATCAAGGGAGGTTCAGGCTTAATTATAAAGCCCTTACTATCTGTAGCCGGAGTAGAAGCAGTGACTATAGACTTAGGAGCGAAAAAATAGTACTGTACGAGCATCCAGTATACATAGACGCCGCAACGGCTATTCATAAGGAGGTCGACATGGTTATATACATCGTTCTGTATCAGGAAGTCCTGTAGTCAGAGGAAAGTGTAGTTTGGCTGAGTTATGGGTGCAATGAGATAGTCATGATATTCACCTTCCCATCACATTACACTGCAGAGTTGTGGATGAAGGCATTCAGCTGGATAGGGCCAGAACAGGAGTTGTTGTCCCATATCTTGGTATTGGACAATTATAATCTGAAAGGCTACCTATCTTTCCAAGGACCATACTGTAACATAATTTACGATTATTCGAGATATGTATGGGTATCTAGGGCGTAAGAAAGCCAAAACTGAAGTCCATGTAAGTAATGCTTCGATTGGTAATAAATACCCATTGAGTTACTTGCCCAAATACTAAGGGCAGGCCGCTATCATCAGACATTGAGGGACCGAGTCATTCTAAGAAGCCAAGATACTTCCAGCCTACTCAAACAAAGAAAATTCCACCAATCGTGTGCGAGAACCATCTTGCGGCTTGACTACAATCCTCCAGGCCTCCGCCGAGGCACTAGACCAAGAGGCCTTGGTGACACCATTCGCGATTGGCTTTTCATAGTCATCGCCAGTCACATCCTTCCAACCACCATCATTGACCTGGACACGATAACTAGCCGGGACATCGAAACCCTGTTCAGTATTCTGATAAAACGCAATCTCTGCCCGCTTAGCTTGCTGAGCAGATCCAAAGTCGATGCTGACCCATTGCTCATCGGAATTTCCTTCGGGTGTGTCGAAGCCGTTAGCAATAGTAGTTTCAGGCCAGAACCAGATACGTCCGTCGAATACATCGTGAACACGCTGTTTATCGGCGTTCAAGATGGAAGAAGCGACTTTTGGGGAGGAAGAGTCTGCTTGAAGCTGAATGGACTTGGCGATAGGTCTCGAAATAGGGACTGTCTCGCGCTCAAGCTTGATTTCGAGGCGTTCGAGTTTATCTGACGAGCCGGCGTCTTGTCCGTCAATTTGTACCCTTAGGCCGGACTTGCCGTACTTGTCGCCGGTTGCATCCCACTGCACAGTGACATTGCGGCCATGATAAAGAATATTCTCGGCGCGGAAATACGATATGCCCTCATCGACAAGAGGGTTGACTTCGAGCACGTCATCTTGTCGAGGCCGAACTCCAACAAAACCCGACATGATCAAGTCAATGTATCCAGAATGGAAGTAATGATGCGACCGGCCAAGTCCGACAATGGGATGACCTGTATCAGGATCGTAGTTTTCCTCAAGATCCAGTGTATCATGATCCTTGTTATGATGCTGAGCAGCGTACTGCTTCAGGAGGCTGATATAGTTCTTGACGGTGACCGACTTTGCTGATGTGGGATAATGATCCAGGACGTTGCCGAGGGCTGTCAAAACCTGAGTGGTCTGATAAGGCCAGCTCGGACCGTTCCAGTGACACTCAACGTGATCGCCTTCGTAACGCCAGACTCGCATGTAGTGCTCATACGATGGTTCCACAGTACGGAGGCCAAAAGGTCCCGCGAGACGTTCTGAATCTAGGATATGTTCCCATGCTTGAGAGTATTCCTCGTTGTCATCGGGTATATCGTGAGTCCATGGAACCATACCAGCCAGCTCTCTTCCGCGAATGGGCGACCAGTATTTGACAAACTCGTTATCCACGTAGTAACGGTCGATGAAGTGATTGAGTGTCGAGTTCCAAAGATCCTCTTGCACACGTTTCTTGAGCACATCGGCACGATCATTGTACTTATCGACAACTGCTTGATCCCCTTTGATCTTGGCAATGTTGGCGATAGCTCGGGCGTTGGCGATCTGGTAGCTGTTGAAGGTTGGCCTAAAGGTCTCTCCACCTGTAAAGCCATCCTTTGCCCCGGACGCATCAATACTCCCGATGGTGTATTCAGTAGCATCCTGGAGAGGAGCAATCCAGAAAAGGCCCTTTGATTTGTCAAATCGTTCTTCAATCCACTTTTCGTAGTTATCTTGCATGCTTTGCAGAAGTGAAAGAGATAGCTCAGAATCGCCGTCAACGAGATAGTTGTTCCAAACGCCTGCTGCCATAGCCTCGGTGTATTGTCGAGGATTGCTGTTCTCGCTATACATGAACTTTGCGTAATCCTGCTTGAATCGCGGGTCACGACACCATCTACCCTCGTTCAAGTGGAAGATAGAGGCATCATTGAGGGACGCCCAATCCTTGTTCTGCCAGCCGACATTGTCGAGAAACTCAGTTGATATGAATCCATTTGAGCCCAGGTTGCGCTGGTGGGTACGGAAGATCTTCCAACGGTAGTAGTAGACATCCGTGATGGATTTGTCGCTACATTCAAAAATGGGGACTCTGTCGCGATACCAATCCGCATCATTGCCAAAGTGCTGCTCTAGAATGTTTGTACTTTGAGCTTGAACCAGATGAGTGAAGAATGGCAGTAAAGCCGAGATACCAATAATGGTCTTCATAATGAGGGACGATTGTCAAATGTGTGATTGCCTTAGAACGACGGAGTTTGGTGGTAACGAGCTTGAAAGTTTAGAAGTTTTAATACTCTGGACGAGATTATCTATTATCTTATATATGTTGTCTTCAGTGCAAATTTCTCACACTCGCGATGAAGTCATGTATGTTGAATTGCCGCAGTGCTTTGACCTGCAGATCCGGACTTCGTATCTCTTAAATTGCAGCGTGATACCATACTTCAAGCAGCCGCTCCAATAATCAAGGGACGCTTAGTTTCTAGCGCATTGACCGGTGATCTTCTCGTAATGGTCAGGGGGAGTTACGAACTTTAAATCCTAACAGGCTTTTTCTCCGTAACCTTTGCGGGGTAGATACGCTAAAATAACGAGAACCTGCCTAATTTAGAATCTCTACGTTCGACTTATGCAGGAGTGTAATTGCTAAAGTCTTAATTTAAGTTTAACAACAAGGTGTTACCTAGTGTCTTGAACACTCACATTCCTTAGGCGGATATTATGGCGACCTTGTCGAACTCTGATTGGCAGTATGTTGAGTTATATTCATTATCGACTTACCTACACATATCAAAGTCTTGATTCGAGAATATTGAGCAGTACCCGGAGGAGGCAATGGCACTCTTACTATCAAATTTAATTAAATTATTAAAATGGCACCGTTAACTCTTGTAATAGTCTTGATTCTTAAGAAAAAAGTTAATCTTACATAAATGTTTTGTGTTTTATACTTATCTTGTCTAGCTTCAGCCTAGACTATGTTACATAGCTGCCTGACTTCTCATATAGCTAAATATACTATATAGAGTCTCAAGCAGGGTATAAGCACTCGATATTAGCCTACCGTAAAGCACTCTCAGACCAGAAGATACTGGCGCTATCCTGTTGTAACGTTCCCGGGGTAAAAACGGATCCATACGAAACCATAACCTGGCGTCTTTACCCTCTAGTTTCACCTACATTACTGGGCTTAAGCTAAAACGATAATAACAATTCAAAAAAGAATCGCGAAGTCCTGAAATCTGGCTTCTCAATTATACCGAGATAAGCCTAGTTTTACTTATTTTGGATATAGTTCTACCGATAAATTAGTCACTTTCGGCAAAATGCATAGTTAACAACCTTAAATATACAACTCATAGATACCTAGATCTAGTAAGAAATCCTCTAGGGCTTTAAAGATTCTTATCCTAGGAATGCTAAGCCTATAAACCTACCTTTTAAAAGTTCAGGCTGCTTAATACCAAGTAAGCAGGCTTCTAGGAGAACAAATCCATGGTCAGCTATAAGACTATAGAACGCAATAGAGACTTCTTTAATAACCTTCATAATTAAGACTTCACAACATATATAAACAGGTAAGAGTAGATATTTTCTGCCATAACAGTCACCAAGATAATTCACATGTAAAGTGTTAGGGTTGGAGTTAATTGAGAGCGAGTGGTAGTGTTCTTCCACTCTAGTGATTTGGGTACTAGGGGTTCTCCATAAAGATAACTGCATGCACCCATAAGGATAGTAGCCCCCTATAGCATGCACAGTCGACTAATAATAAACTTGTCAGTATGATATTGAAATGGAGTTTTATCTGGCCTACTTAGAGCTATAAAATCTTATTGGATAATACGGAATAGCAAAATAGCTAGCTACTTTATTCAATGTGATTCTTATATAAGTTAAGCTAAGATTTAGAGCCTTTGCTGAACAAGTATCTCCCCAGGTCAATTGTCGAATTGCGTAATGTTAGGTTTTCCCTCCATCAAAGAGACAGAAAATACACAATGCCTCAATACTGTATCAAGTTGAAGTAATTCATGCAGAATTGGGCGTTCTCACCAAAGCTGGACGTATGTTCCAAAGCGCCTCCACTTAGACATCGAGTAATAAGCGTCCAGCTGATTAATCTCTTCTACGCTGAGATGACGTCTTCCTGTCCTCAAATCGGCAGTAGCAAGATCACGCCACTGTGTGCGCATGATGACCTTATATCCGACTGTAAAAACAACGATAATAAGAATGCCGATGATATACTGGAAGAAGTTGTTGGGATTAAAGCCTCCACCGCCCTAGAAGGTCAAGGTTAGCTATCGTAGCCAGGACATACACTTGGAATGATAAAGGACGTACCAATGGCTTGATTCCGATGGCAAAGCAACTAGCAGTAAGCAAGGCACAAATTGAGAGGAGCCAGGTAGGAGCCAGCGGCCAGCCAACAGACTTCCAAGCGTATGGCTCTGTAAAAAGAGGATCGTTCTGTAGCTTAAGCGCCCGATGGAATCGAAAGGATGTGAACCCGATGATGATCCACACACAGAAGAACGAAGCACTTGTGATGGAGATAAGCCATGTGAAGGCTGTACGTCCGCCGGCTACATATACAGTCAGTCGATCAGTCCGTAACTAGAGAGCATAATGCCAAGAGTGACATACCTGCCAAGTTGATATATGTGAGTATGACGCCTACCCCGCATGTGATAGCAAGGGCCCAGCGTGGGCGACCTTGGCTATCAACCTTGGCAATGAATTCAGGTACCAGCTTTTGGTGTGCCATAGTGCGGAGTACGCGCGATGACAAGTAGACGGCCTCGGCAGAGATTGCCAAGATACCTACAATCATTCCGGCATTCAGAATGTCCGAGATGACGGCAATCCCAGAGTCAAGCGTGGCAATGACAAAGGGAGAGGCGGTAACGCCTGATCCACCAAGCAGTCGCTCGTCGTCAGAACGGACAAGCATTGTGATAAACATGACACTCAGCATATACACAATTCCTACCCGGTACGGAACAAGCTTGGTAGCGTGACCTAAAGCGTGTCTTGGGCTACGGGCTTCTCCACCCATAATACCAATGAAGACCTGATCACCAACGGCCCAGGTGGCAAGCAATGCTGCATTAGCAAAGCCCTAAATTTTGCAAGTTAGCAGGCGACAGTGACATAAAGTAGTCCGTATCTAAAGCTTACCGAAAAGCCATTCTTGAACGCATTCAACTCTGTCCAAGTACTACCCGAGTGGACTTCACCACTGGGTCCGGCACCACAGACAAGAGCTAGGGATAAAAGTATGATGATAAGAAATAAGAAGATCTTGATAAGCGAAGTGAAGTACTCGAACCAAGCAAAGATTGTGTTGGGAAGAAGGAAGATAACAAAGGTTGCGGCTAAGAAAACAGTATCTAGTAGTTCATCTCGTTAGCTTATAAAATCAAAGTCCATTTCCACAAGGTAGTCTCTTACAGACAGCGGCTGGTGGAATAGCACCATCTGCCCAGAAGTTTATGAGAATATCACAAAATACGGCCTCAGCCGCAATAATAGCAGTCCAACCTAAATAAATCTAGAATCATCATGTGGTCCCCTTATGTTACAGTTCGCACTGGACTCCTCACCCAGCCACTCGGCAAATCCGGCACCAAAAGCCAAAGCTGGGTCGACCCAACGCCCAGCATAGTCGATGAAGTTACCAGAGGTTGGGAACGCAATAGTCATCTCGGAAAGAGTTTGTAGGACAGCCCAAACACAAGAGCATACCAGGGCGTATGCGATAATCATGTTTCCAGGGCCGCCACTAGCAAGAGCGCTGCCTGTTCCGATGAACACGCCACTTCCGATGTTCGAACCGAGCGAGATGATCTGAACGCATGCCCGTTAGTAAGTGCGGAGTCTGCATGGGCAAGCGAATTGCATACGTGTACTTGACGAGGGGTGAAAGATCTATGGAACTGTCCATTACGATCATCGTTGAGCTCAGCTGATTCTGCCTCGTGGCGACTTCCGGGTTGCTCAAGCGGAGACCCATCGCCTGGTAGCTTCTCGCGATCACTCTTATAATCCATTGTGTTAGAGTGGATGTGTTATACAAGGCTGGAGAGCTTGTAATGGGACTAAGACGTTAAGATGTCTTGGACATAAAAGTGAAGAGGTGTTGCTGTTGAGATTGGATAGTATGAATGAGGATAAAGAAAGAATTCACCAACTGCTCGGATGACGCGACGTATTTGAACTGCGCAACGTCGATCTGAACCCCAAGGGGCCGTGGTTCAGCTCAGTTCCCCGCAAGGAACCGTGATTGATTGCAGATTGCATGGGTCAAGACAAAATCGCGTGGTACACATCTGCTAGTCTGTCAGAAAACCCTGGCCAAGCCTGCCAAGACATGATAAGACCCAGTAAATAAGGTATATCAGGTCCACCTGCTTCCGTTCAACCTCTAAGGTCTCGGTCTGGCTGGCTTGGCATAAACGGAGCAGGCATTTAAAGAACTGCGCCTCAGCTGATGCCGCCATAGTCGGCATGTGAGGTAGATAGCCAAATTTCCTCTAAGCATGCTTATCGGGCAACAAGCCCTTAGCATTGTACTTAGTTTGAGGCATTTCATCTCACTGTCGGCAGACGTTCTGGTGATTTCTGCAATGATGCCAAGCCGCTACGGAAAGGGCTCCGATGGTTTTCTTGAGATGCGCGAGTGTTATCAAATATGTAACAGCGCCAAGAGATAGCTAAACTTCCTCAGGTATTCAGCAGCTTGCCGGACCGACAGTGACATTGCATTCGATATACACAATGTGGGATTAAGAACATTTCTCCAGGAATAGTAAATAATATAGCGGTAGTAAACAGCCTTTCCTTCGACTTACCGCTTAAAGTAAATGAATCGATTACCCCAGATATTAAGATCGATACTCCAGAGCTAAAACCTGGAGAAATCCATTCCACAGTGGAGTTCCCCGTAACGCAACTTTAAATCGACTTCACGAAGTCCAGCGGGTGGATTTTCATTACGTATATTAATACAAGCATAATGCGGCATAACCACTTTAAGCCCAGTTAGGCAGCTTAAGGGAGAATAATAACATCCTAACCCCTCTTTCCGCCACCCCCCCCCCCCCCCCCCCCCCCCCTTCTGCTATCTTATTATTAACTTTATTAATAGATTATAATAACCGGTTAGTATATTATAATATTATTAATTATTATTATATAAAGCT